GCCTCAGTAATAAAACCTACCCCTCTAATAACCTCAGTAATAAAACCTACCCCTCTTATAGCCTCAGTAATAAAACCTACCACTCTAATAGCCTCAGTTATGAAACCTACCCCTCTAAAAGCCTCAGATATAAAACCTACCCCTCTGATAGCTTCAGTTATAAAACCTACCCCTCTAATAGCCTGAGTAATAAAACCTACCCCTCCTATGGCCTCAGTAATAAAACCTACCACTCTAATAGCCTCAGTTATAAAACCTACCCCTCTAATAGCCTGAGTAATAAAACCTACCCCTCCTATGGCCTCAGTAATAAAACCTACCACTCTAATAACCTCAGTTATAAAACCTACCCCTCTAATAACCTCAGTAATAAAACCTACCCCTCTTATAGCCTCAGTAATAAAACCTACCACTCTAATAGCCTCAGTTATGAAACCTACCCCTCTAAAAGCCTCAGTTATAAAACCTACCCCTCTAATAGCCTCAGATTTAAAACCTACCCCTCTGATAGCTTCAGTAATAAAACCTACCCCTCTAATAGCCTCAGTTATGAAACCTACCCCTCTAAAAGCCTCAGTTATGAAACCTACCCCTCTAATAGCCTCAGTTATGAAACCTACCCCTCTAAAAGCCTCAGTTATGAAACCTACCCCTCTAATAGCCTCAGTTATGAAACCTACCACTCTAATAGCCTCAGTTATGAAACATACCCCTCTAAAAGCCTCAGATATAAAACTTACCCCTCTAATAGCCCCAGTAATAAAACTTACCCCTCTAATAGCCTCAGTCTCCTGTTGTTCTATATCTGAGATCTGTTGTTTTAAGCCAGCGATGGTTTTTAATATTTCTAACTTCTGCTGTTTCAAGTCAGACATTTGTCTTTCTAACTCAGGATCAGACTGTAAAGAAACGTCGAATGAAATGGCAACATCTTTGATATGGTTTGGAGCAATTTAGGCAATTCTGCTACATTTATGATGTTTTATGCAACGATTGATACATTTGTAATAAAGTGATATGATTTTTACACTTAAACACTTAAATCATTTGCAGATATTGATCCAGGGGCCATATTTACAAAATTGAAGTAAGAATGATTTGGTTGCTTAATCACTAAAATTTATCTTAACTCAAGTTTCGTCAACAAATAATATATTAAGTAAATTTGGTTTTTATCTTAGTTCTTAGTCTTAGAATAAGTCCCATATATAGGATAACATCAAATTTATTCAACCTGTCCTTACCTTAACTCTATTTGGTGAAGAAACTTCAATGGGTTTATTATTATTCTCAATAATCTTATCATGGACCACGAATTTAACACTGGAACCATTCACCATACCACCACCATTTACTGTTTTATTCCCAGCAGACGTCCCTCCACCCACAGACGCTTTCGTCAACACCGGACTACTTCCTTCTGCATCACTATTCACTGGCGTAGGGGTATCTTCCTTAGCACTTAAACTAGAAACATCGGGGGAGTTCTCCTTGATTGTCCTTGAACTTGACGAGGTGGAAGAATGTGTGGATGAATGTGCCTCGCTATATCGGCGCATGTAATCATCATCGTTGTCAAGGGAGATTTGAGCGTTGAATTGAGCACTGAATATTCCATAGTCATTACGAGCAAGCTCTTGTTGCGACTCGAAGGAAGTGTTTAGGATTTGGTCAATTGAATTTTGAACTGATTGGGGTGGGCTCATTGGTCCGTGATCAAATATGTTGTGCATAGTGTGGGGCGAGACTACCGAAGATGTAGAGGAAGTAGGGGTTTTGGCATCACTAGAATCACTTGGGGTAGGACGACGCTTGATGGTACCCGTTTCTTCCGAACTGCCATGAAGATCTTCTTCAGATGTGGAATTCGATGAATTTGAATGACGTGATCTTTGGGGTAAAAATGGTGACTCTTTGGGAGGTTGACTGGGTGATGATCTTCCCAACGAGCCATTTGTTTTAATTTTAGTCATTGAAGACTTGTCTTTACGATCTAAAGAATGGTTGTTTGCATCCGTTGTCGAGGAAATGTTAAGGAAACCTGGAGGAAGTGTTTTCTTTGCTGGCGGAGATTTCAAATCTTTTTCTATTTTTGGTTGAGGAAATCCCATTTTTTCACTTTCTAACTGTTCCTCATATTCTGAACACATTAATAAAATATCCTCCAATCGCTGCCTTTCGTATTTTTCAAGTTCCTGTTCCTGCTTACGTTTTTCTACCATCTCCCGATGTTTCATGGATAAATTCTGTTCACTTGATGTTAGTTCATTGAAGTCAAATTCTATTCCTTCAAATGTATTTCTTTCAACAGATTCTGACAAATTGTCCTTATTTCGTAAACTAACATTTATCACATCACCATTGGTTACAACAGGTTTGACAGCTGGTTTTGGGGCAGTGGGTGGCGGTTCTTTACGACCGCCAGATTTTGGTCTGATGACATTTGTATCATTTTTATCCCCTGATTTTGGTCGTACGACATTAGAAATGTTTCGATCACCTGATTTTGGTCTTGTAGCTGGTCCCTGGTATTTAAACACATCCCCTGAGTCAGAGCGGGGGGAAAACAGGGAAGTTGGAGATGTAACAGAAGATCGCGGGGAAGTAGGGAAAGCAGCCGGGGATCGCATGCCTCCATTTGAAACTGAATGTGAGCTAGAGGTAGAATGAGTTTGGCCACCATTTGTAATATTTGGAGTGTTTGACGACCGATGAGAACCAGACGAATCCGAACTCCAACTTAATGTACTGACACTGGTTAACGAACTTGAACTTTTTGTACTACATGTACTTGTCACTCGATCACTTCCTCCTTGTAACAGGCTCGCAGAAATTCTTGTCGTAGCTGTATCACGGGAAAACACTTTCTCTCCAACATAGCCTTGAAATGGAGTCACGTTCGAATGCTTGCCGCCAGATCCCGAAAATGAATTTTTCTCTGCTGGACTTTTGGCAGTGGGTGTTTTATTTCCACGAGAAAACATCTCAAATTTACAGACTTTGTTCACGAAGTCTGCTCCATCAAGGCTGTCACGTTGTGAATCCTTTTTTGACACAGTAATCTCCCCTGAACCGTGCTTCAATCTTTTAGTGTCGGCTTCCGAAATCATCTTCATGTAGTCTGGACTATTCTCCAGATCTGAAAAGAGATAAAAACAGAAATCAGTGGATTGGATTGTGTTTGACAGATTCCAAAATTTGAATGCAAGTATTGCCTGATATCTAGGCACATCAAGTCAGACATACTCTTATGATAAAATACGAGGAATGACAAGTATACCCTTATTCTCTTGAAAAAATTTGTTAACCAATTTTATAACTAAAAACTATTTTGATATCCTGATATTGACAACAGTGAGTCTATGTAGTTCTACCAAGTATCAGATATAGACCAACCCTCTTTGTTCAGCCAATACATCATACTTTTCAGTCATGTATGGTGTATACAGCCAACTTGACAGCACTCCTTTACTCCTTTTATGATGAAAACAAATGGGACTTTTTAGGTGGGAATAGACATAGTATAGTGTCTGATACAATGTATATGTGATTATCTTCATATTTTACACTGTACAACTCAATGCACATGAAGAGCAAAAACCTGTCCTTAGACGGTGTTCTGCATGTTATGAGATCAATTCAAGAAAATCTCATCCTTCTAAATCTTACAGAGCATATTCAATATTCAAATACTTCTATCAAAACTTGCTAGAGTAAAAAATTAACATTGCGTTATTGGAAGACATGATTGGCAAATACAACCAAATCAAACTCTGATTTCAACCGCTTTTTTATATACCCTACAATCCCTTGAACATTGTCCCTATAATTACAAATATTTGTCTGAACGCCTCTCACTGCACAAGTTAACTGGAGACCTTTTGTTCATTGTTCATATACAACAGCGGAAATCAAGCCCTTCACATTCTTGTGGTTAGTTAAATGATTTAAAAAAAATACAAACTCAACGCATAAAGAAATATCTGACACTTTTTCCTTTCAATATTCATACTACATAGCTCAAGGACAAATAAATACAAATCTTTTATTGAGACTCATTCAGCTGGAAAATTCTCTTTTTTATTTCTGAATGAACTTTTCTATGCAAATCGGTGAAAGGTTGAAGGGAGAAAGTCGTCTTATTAAACCCAGTCAAAGAATGAATGATTTGACGAAAAATATCTTCGCTCCTTTTCGCATTGTACTTGAACTTTCCGAGTCAGGAATCTGAGACACATGTCAATATCCTGATTGTCTAGGACATGTATTCTGTATTTAGATAGAAGACAAGGTGTGGCTTCACAGCTACATGTGAAAACACCTAAAAAGCTTAATTTGTTGTTACAAAAACAAGATTATTTTATAACATGTTGACAAATTTTATAATATTCAGGGTAGAACATCTATTAAAATGACAAGATTATTCAACTTTTATCAAATTGAGTATCATAATGTTACAAAAACTGGAAATGCTTTGCAATGAGCAATGAGGAAAACTACGCCATGACACTAGCATAGCCTGATATAGGCACAGCTTTATGGAACAACAATCACTGGCTTAAGTTGTTCCATGAAGCTGTGCTATATTGACATTGAAAGACTTAAACATAGCCTACTCTGACATGATCTAGGTGGTCCGCTGTCATCACTTAATGGACATACCTTCTGAATTTTGATTGCTTTAAAATGGCTCACTTCAAAAAAATGAAATGAATGGAGTTTTACGTCCTACTTTTCTGCACTATGTTGGCTAATGACGACAGGCTACGCCATGCAGGGTGCAATGAGGGGAATTCTGCAAGGACAGCGGCATTAGCCTACTCTTTTTGATTTTTAACTGTTTATTGTAACAGTCTGTAGCACATGGGGCCTCGGTTTATTGTCCCATCTGAACGACAAGACGCTATTCTTTTTTGTCACCCCCTCTTACCTGCATAACAGACTGGGAAACCGGTTTGAAAATTCAAATGTGCAAGTTTGATAAACTAGTGCTTCCATCCTGAAAAAATGCCCTTTTTGCACACTGCATAGAGTTGCCTGTATTATTCATTTGATATTTTTAGGCCCTGTGTCTTTTCTTTACGAATCTGAAGAATGCAGAAGTGACATGAAGACACCTGGTCCAATATAAATACCACTAGAGGTCACAGGGTTCACCTTTAATTACTTCCAAATATTCGCCTCATAAAATCTGACCCCTGTGTATTAGGGTTGACCTATGACCTGTTAATCTGACCCCTATATTAGGGACAACCTGCAGAGAATAAAGCCCTGGTGAAACTTCCTTCACAATACCACCTGACAATAGTTCAATTAGCATAAATCTCAATATATCCTGCTGGTTTTAATACTGAATCAGGGTTTTTTTTGTAATTGAGACATCTAAATTAGAACCTGATGTTTTAAATTCATGGTGAGTTATTTGTGGTCTGTATTCTTAGATTAAAGGATTAGGATTTGGGATTATTGAACTTTAAATAGTGCTCATTACTGCACTGATGTGAGCAATCAATGGTACTCATCATAAATAGTTGATATGCCATCTTACCAGAATTCTGGAAATGGGGATACAACCAGTGGTGGCGCTGGCCTCTCGAGACTGGATGTACAATAATGGGCAGGGCAGACTGACTTAATTGGGGCAAACTGTCGGAATTGATATTCCAAATGCAGAAACTCAGAAGGTTATTTACAACAAATACATTAAATTAAATAAAACAAATCTTAGAAATGTAGTGAGGTTAAAAACTATTTTCAAAAGAGGCCATATCATGGAACCCACAGGAAACAATAGCACACCTTGCTACAC